CCCCCCCTGTCCCTAGATCATACTTGGGTATTCCTTCTAACTCCTGGGTGGACGACTTCATTGATTGGCTGAACCCAGGATCCAAATGTTGTCGTCTGTACGCCTTCGGCCCAAATGCTGGAAAGTTCTGTCCTGCAAGCGAATGTAAGAATAACCACAGTAACAAACTCTCTTTACATTTAATTTGCTTTTATGATGAAAGCTATTCCCCTTCTTTTATTCATACCTAATCTGCTTTTATGTGTCAACAGCTGGTTTTCTCTGTCCCAAGAAGTGCATGTCAATTCCTCCAGATGGCGTCCTCAGGCCCACTAAGGAAGAATTCAACCGCTTCCTGCCTGACTTCCTGGGTAACAGACCTGACCTGCAGTGCCCCAAAGGGTGTGTTAGCGGCACATGTACACACTTTAAAACATCACAACATGAAAACAATATCATGACTGCTTATTATCTCTTTCAACAGAGGTCTTGGTGCCTATGACAAAGCGGTGGTGATGGATGAAAAAGGAGAAATTATAGGTTAGTCATTTAAAATCTTCTATTAAAGATATATTATGTAGTTTGTTTGTATGGAAGATATTGAAAAAATCAACAACTATTCATATGAAATAGAAGAAGCGCCTAAATTCAATTAATGAATGTTTTCTTCCCTGTGCTCCCAGCCTCTCGGTTCATGGCGTACCACACACCGTTAACCAACTCGCAGGAATTCACTGCTGCACTCAAGATGGCCAGAGCGCTAGCCCACAACATCACAATGACCATGAGGAAAATCGAAGGCACCTCACCCGACTTTGAAGTATTTCCTTACACGTATGTACATTCATTTAACTGTATCTTACCTTGATAATCTTACAAAAACGATTCTTTCTTATTTCGTGTCTCTACTGTGATTTGGGAACATGCTTCAATATTCAAAGAGCTCTTTAGTTTCTCATACTGCCTGTGCTGCAGCACCTCTTTTCACCCTCTGTCTGAAACCAGAGCCCAGTCTGATCTGATTGGTTGTCTGGCCGGCTCTGTTGTATGGCTTAGAGATGTCCCGCCCCTTAAAAGTCCAATGAAGTGTGTGGGAGAGAAACTCTCCCTAGCTTGAACTTTAGGATTTAAGCCTTTGCAGACCATTTACATGCACACAAACCTTTATAACACACTATAGGAAAGAGAAAACCCCTGTAATAGGCCCCCTTTAAACCTTTGCTGTCTGTCATTTCTGACCATTGTTTGTCTTCTCTCCTTCCTCCAGGGTGACCAATGTATTTTATGAGCAGTACCTGACCATTGTTCCAGAGGGACTGTTCAACATCTCCCTGTGTCTGCTGCCCACCTTCGTGGTGTGCTGTCTGCTGCTCGGTCTGGACCTGCGCTCCGGCCTGCTCAACCTCATCACCATCATCATGATCACCGTGGACACTGTTGGGGTCATGACTCTGTGGAACATCGATTACAACGCCGTCGCCCTTATCAACCTGGTCACGGTAAGACAATTAAAGAGGCACTGCGCTGATCTTACATATGAAGATAGTTTTACTGGTAATAAGGAGTACTTCTCATCCTGTGAAGACAGTTGTATGAGGTTTTCTGTTTCACTAAAGGGATTTATTTGACACAATATGCTAGGTTAACTGGTTTAGCTGTGAGAACACAGTTGCGAATATCAATATTATTAATTATAAAGGAAGAAAAAACAATATTGTTAAAGTAACCCATAGTTTTAAAAATTCTCCGCCAATTCGGGTAGTTGAATTTTTTTTGGAAAAACATGCAAAAGGTGTTCCTAGTTCCAGATTAAGGTACTAGAAATCCAGATATTTTAGCCTCTGCTGCTCTAATTTCAATAATCTTTTTAGATCTTCAGTCATTTTTTAGGTCCCCTTCATTATGCAGGTGCAAAACTAAATTGCTATAATCTTACTTTAGTATTTTTTATATGTCTTGTAGACAATCTGTGATGTTATATGTCATTGTTAGAAGAGCAAGATGTTTCAAATACATTTATATTCTAATTTCTTACTCTACTTGCCTACTCTCTCTGTGTTGTTTGCAGGCGGTGGGCATCTCGGTGGAGTTTGTGTCTCATATGACGAGATCCTTTGCACTCAGCACTAAACCAACACGTGTAGAAAGAGCCAAGGAGGCTACGGCCAACATGGGCAGCGCGGTGAGTTAACCATAAGACAAACCAGTGCACACATTTTTAAATACAAACATTAGATTTTTATAAATATATGTATTTTTGACCCTGTAGGTGTTTGCTGGTGTTGCTATGACCAACCTGCCAGGCATCCTCGTGCTGGCGTTTGCCAAAGCGCAGCTCATCCAGATCTTCTTCTTCCGATTAAACTTAGTCATCACACTTTTGGGGATGGCTCACGGACTCATATTCCTCCCTGTGCTGCTCAGCTACTTTGGTAAGTACTTTATAGGTGCGTGTTTATATATGTAACAAAGAGGTTTGAAAAGCTACATTGCAGTCTATCTCAGTTTCACTAAATCAATTCTTGAGTGAGAAGTTTTAATCTTTGCAATTAGCATTTATTATAGAAATTGCTCTTGTTCTGGTACGTGTTCAAAACAGTACAATCGTCGACAATTTGCAATATCAATACTTGCATGCGGCTAATTTATCATAGATTAGGAGTTGATTATCCGATTTTTTTAAATTTCTAAACATTCTTAAATCGTTTGATCAATCACTTGAAAAATACATGTTCAATTAAATGATCAAAATCTCTAAGGAGGTACAAATAAATATTTTATTAATTTAGCTACTGAAGACCCTAATCTCAAAAGCTCACTGTGATATGAAATAGTATATGGGTCATTCTACAGAAAAGGTGGAATCTGGGTGATACAAATCTGCTGAAATATATTCCTTCTAAAAACATCTAAAACCTGTTAAATAGCAATAACTAACTCTTAACTTGATGAATCCACAACAAGTAGAGCTTAAAGTATTTTTATTTTTTTAATTATTTTTATACTTTATACAATGCTTATTTGTATAGGAATTTCACTGGTGTTACGTGTTACCAGGAAGAAGAGTAACACCAGTGACGGTAACACCAGTGACAATTTGGAGAAAACACTACCATTTTAACAAAATGGCTGCAATGTGTCAAGACCAAATATGGCTTCAGTCAATATCAAAATCGTTTAACTCTTCAATACAATACATTTTCCCATTCAAATGTTCACCCCTAGGGCTATGAAATGAGTAACACTAATGACAGACTTGGATGACGCACGTAAAATTTGAAGATAAAATGACACCTTTAACAAACAAAGTAAGAAGTATCTGACTTTCCTTATGTCTTTGTCCACTGCACTGCCTCAAATGATCTCTTGTTACAGGAGGCACTTCAGAGACAGTACATTATTTCAAAATAAAAGCGTTTTGTGTAGCAGTAACACCAATGACGTAACGTAATGACTGACATTTATTTGATATTATTAATAATAATTTGCTTTTTTTTTTTACCATTTCAGTGTTATATTTAATGCTTGTAATGTTATGTAAATATAAATTAGATTTATTTATTGAAAAAATATTTTAAATTAAAACTATAGGCTCCACTTCCATGTATGATCAAAGTGACAAGGCAGTTCCTTGAACTTGGCATTTTAAATAAATTGCAATTTACGTATAAAACCATCTTTTATTAATTTTTTATTTAGTACCATTGCAAAGACAATCTCTATTTATTCAAAATATATAATGAATGTGAGTATTAGGTCAACGTCATGTATTTTGGTGTCTGCAAAAGTAAGTGACAGCACTTCCACCTTTTCTGTAAAAAGACCCATATAACTAAAATAAAAAATGAGAAAAATGAAAAAACTCTGGTTGATTAGCATGGTGAAAAAATATCCAAACATTTTGACGAGTACCGTTAAATCAAAGTGAAAGCAACTTTTCCTTTTGGTGGCTTTTGGCAAATAAACAAAAACAAGGTTTTGAAGCATGAAAAAAAATGGATGCAATAAAAGTTGTGACAATTGTATTTAAAAAACAAACAAACATTGAAAATGATTAAAAAAATTATGCAAAGAGATTTTGAGAACATCTGAATATATTTGACTCACACCTCGTTCTTTTCCTTGCTCAGGTCCTGGTGTGAACAAAGCCGTGCTGCTGCAGCACCAGCAGCTCAAAGCGAAGGCCGCCAGGGAGCTGGAGATGAGGAACAATATGAGACATATCTATGATAACCTGAGCTTTGAAGACAGCGAGATAAGACAGTACCCGGACTTAAACCTTACAAAGGACGCCAGCAGTCCTTCACAAATTGAAGAGAATCAAAAGCAGGAGAAAGAGGAGAAGATCGATAGCTTCTGAGCGCCAAAAAAACAGTTTTAAAGCTCTGATGAGTAAATACTTGTGTAGCAAACTGAACAAGGATGGACACAGAAACAGGAAAGAGATAACAAACAAGGAGTCAACTATTTGGCTCCCTATGGAAATCATTCACTTTACTATGTACCTCAATCAGAAATGGACTGGTGGGACTGAAGACACAGTTGTGCAATATATCCAAGCAATGCGACAAAGAGAGTCAACCTTCCTGCCTCCACACTACACGTCTGGAGCCGGGCTAGATTTGTTTTTTTTTATTGTGGAATTTCTTGACAGGACAGGAAGTCGACAAATGTTCTTGAATTAGTCATTTTGTAGTTTTTGTATTAAATGTAATTATTCTGTATGTGTGAACACTTTACATTAGCACTGTTTAGAGGGATTTAAAGGAACACACACTCCATCTTTTCATGTTATAGTTTCTTCAATAGCATAGCATGGAAAATTGCTGTAAAATAAAAAAAATATTTAATGTGTTTAAACATTTAGAATCATCTTTTTGTATAATAATTGTATTTATGGTACATAGAAGAAAAGCCTCGAAACACTAGTTTCTTTAACATCCATACAATTGTATGTGACTGACAGCTATTGTATATTAAATATATAAATAAATATGGTAAACTGATAATGCCCTTCCTGTACTTTCATGCAAAGGTTTCTACTGAAAAGTTATTAAACAGAGTTTTGTTTGTTCTATCTTTTCTTTGTCCTTCCATATTTGTGTCTGGTCATGATAAACTGCACCTCTTCTTTAGAGGCTGCCTTCAAATGCTTTTGGGGTTTCCCCTTACCTGTAGTGTGTATAGGTTTGTGTGCATGTAAAGGGTCTGCAGACGCTAACATCCCTGTGTTCCCTCCAGAAGGAGTTTCTCTCCCACACTCATACAGACATCACTATGAAACAATCGCACTTCTATTCGCTAGCGCTCCAACTCACCGACGAGATAGGGTAAGGGGCGGGACATCTTTAAGTGGTTGACCAATCACAACAGAGCTGGTCAGCTAACCAATCAGAGCACACTGGACTCTGGTTTCAAACAGAGTGGGGGAAGAGGTGCTGCAGCACAGGCATGAGGAACATAAAAAGCTTTTTGAACTTTAAAGCATGTATCAATGACACAGTAAAGGCACAGAATACAAATATGAACCTGAAAATGAGCATAAAAGAGCTCCTTTAATTAAGAAGATGAATAGATAAAGTAAAAGTAAAAAAATGTTTACCATCACTTACTGGCTTCAGACCCAATCATTGGTTGTTCCTAGAGTCAGTCCTACAATGGGAGCCAGAGCCTTTTCTTATCAAGCTCCACTTTTGTGGAATCAGCTTCCAGTTGATGTTCGGGCGGCAGACACCCTATCCGTTTTTAAGAGTGCGCTGAAGACCTTCCTTTTTGATAAAGCTTATAGTTAGGGCTGATAAGATTCAGCCCCTAG